ATGTTGATGTCAGACATAAATAGACTATGTTGATGTCAGACATGAATAGACTATGTTGATGCCAGACATAAATAGACTATGTTGATGTCAGACATAAATAGACTATGTTATGTCAGACATAAATAGACTATCTTATGTCAGACATAAATAGACTATGTTGATGTCGGACATAAATAGACGATGTTGATGTCAGACATTAATAGACTATGTTGATGCCAGACATGAATAGACTATGTTGATGTCGGACATAATTAGACTATGTTGATGTCAGACATAAATAGACAATGTTGATGTCAGACATAAATAGACAATATTGATGTCAGACATAAATAGACTATGTTGATGTCAGACATAAATAGACTATGTTGATGTCAGACATTAATAGACTATGTTTATGTCAGACATAAATAGACTATGTTGATGTCAGACATTAATGGACTATGTTGATGTCAGACATTAATAGACTATGTTGATGTCAGACATAAATAGACTATGCTGATGCAGTTATAAATAGACTATGTTGATGCCAGACATTAATTGGCTGTGTTGATGTCAGACATGAATAGACTATGTTGAATGCTTGCATAGATTGGGAATGTGGTCATTTTAATTCAGACGTAGCAGCCCCAGGCCACACTGAAGCGCCGCCCCTAAGGGTAAGTCCCTCCCCCTTAGAGAGGTCATTAGGGAAAAACTCCTCCCCCCGAGGAGGGTCCCTAGGGTAACTTCCCCATCCATTGCAGTGTCTACAAGGGAAACTCTTTCTTTGGAATTTTTTAGGGTGAACGCCCATTGCAGTGTCAATGAGAAAGATATTCCTTTAAAATTTATAGAATGAACGCCCCTTAACATCCTCCCTCCTTGGAGATATCTTTGGTTCCCTCCATCTTCCCTTCTCTTTCACAGGGAGTTTATAGGGGTAACCCCTCCACCCCTCTTATCTCTACCCTGTCTCCCCCCTTCGTCCCCGACGACGGACACTGCCGACGCATTCTTGGCAACCTGCCACCTGCAGCAGCAGCAGCACCTACAGCAGGTGCTGCTGCTGCTGCAGGTGCTGCTGCAGGTGCTGCTGCTGCAGGTGCTGCTGCTGCATGTGCTGTTGCTGCTGCAGGTGCTGCTACATGTAGTGCTGCAGGTGCTGCCTAAAACAATTACCCTTAGAAAATTTAGAGTCGCCCCAGCTTCTGGTAATCCAAATCAGAAGCTGACGCGTCTGTAAATTTTCACTGGGTAAGGTGCCGCAAAGCTACTGCACAGGAGTCGGGTACATCCTATAGGATTCTGCCGAAGAGTCACTACACTCGCAGTCGTTCAGGGTCTGCTTGGCCACCAGGGCCCATATTTTCAAAATAAGTTAAGAGATCGTAAGTTCATCAGCCAATCATTGACGGCCTTTCAAGCAAAATCCACCAATCATAGACAAGAAAATAGTGCGTAAATACTTACGTTCACTTAGCGAGTTTTGAAAGTATGGCCCCAGATCGAAATCAGCTTCTGATCAGAATCTCCTTTCTAACTTTATAGCCGCCTGAGAGTATGACAAGTGTGTCCTGAGAGTATGACAAGTGTGTCCTGAGAGTATGACAAGTGTGTCCTGAGAGTATGACAAGTGTGTCCTGAGAGTATGACAAGTGTGTCCNGTCTCTGTCGCGACGTTGCCACATCGCGGGCACCCGCGACGTGCTGATGTGCCACATCTCCTCGGCCTTGGTGGCAAGTGTGCCAAATATATTCTATGTTTCCCTATCACTAAATTAATAAAAATAATTTATTAAATAATTGACCACGACTATCCATCTTATTTACGGAAGAGCTCGAATTTTTTAAGCAATTTATTAATCAAGTAATCAATTTAAAAAAACTTTTTTTAATGATAAAAATGGCTAATTTAATAGAAAATACTTGCATGATTTGGAATTTGCTTAAAACAATTTAAATTCATCGGTGAATGATCGCGACACGTTTCGTTTAAATTAATTACAAGGATAGTTCCAATATTTTATGCAAAATTAATTATTAATAATAAATTGTTTTATATTTCGTTTAAATCAATTACATGTAAAGTTTCAATATTCCTTTCAAAATTAAATATTGATAATAAATTGTAAATATTTTTAGTTATAACGGAGAAAAATTGTTGTAGTGGTTACATAACATTCAATTATTATTATTAATTAAAGAACAAATTGCGAGTTAAACTGTCCCCGCACGCTGGGGTGAAAAACTCTACGGTATTCACTGCCAGCATTTCAGTAACTCTGCCGAATTCACGACGCAAATTATAAGCTGTGCAAATAAAATGAAAAATTAATTAATTTTAAATGCGAAGAAGAATTCATTTCATGTGAAATAAAACATAATTGTAATAATAGTAATAATAATAATGTAATTGTTGTGTCAATTTTTTACAATATATTAATGTAATTAACGT